TCTTGAGCAATACTTGACCTGTGTTAATATTTGTAATTTTTTCTTTTCGTTTTGTTTATAAAATTATGTTAAATTTTGCCAAAACAAAGTGCATATTATGTTGATCGGCACTATGGATTTCTTGACGCACAATACTAAAGATTCATTGGGAAAGAGGAATGTGACGTCGGTACACTGGAATACACTTTGAAAGTTATTTACCAGTAAATGAAAAAAAGTACCTTGATAATTAAAACAGCTTTGTAGAGATTAGACTGCAAATTGGTGAGTGACTGGTCGACGCGTGGCCCAGCTGGAATAGGTGTTCCGGCATGATGCCAGACAATATCTGGCGGTGGATCTGCTTCCAGGTAGCACTCCATTAGCAGATCCCCTTGTGGGGTCTGCTGTATTGATGGTTTTTGCGTGAAACGTGGTGCTCCCGGCATTCTGCTCCACGAACTATGCCTACTTGTGATTTAAAGGAGTGCGAAGATGAGCGACATACAGGTTTCTTCCGGTCAATTTTCGGCTATGCGGTGTCGATTGTTCGTTGTACTGTCCTGGAATAGAGAAAAACTTTTGCCCCAGTCCAGTTTATTAGCCCAACAGCGACGCAAAACAACGAAGTACAACATATACACAGAAGACAGCGTCAGGAGTTAGGGTTCAAGAAACAGGAGAGGCAAGTAGTAGCAGTAGTTGCAACGCCGGTAGCAGTAGCTCGCGCTCCAGCTCCGACTCTGGCGTAGCGGATGTGTGTTTGCTACCAGCAGCAGCATCTCACCTCGGAATGTTTGACTCTAGTTGTCACGCAGCGGAGCTTCCTAGCAGTTCAAAAGCAAACCCCACTCCACGCCAATACACTAAAAATAAGTGTGGTAGGTCCCGACAGCGCTAAAACTTCGCATCCTAACTGGCTGCTGCTACAGCCATGCCCTCTGCTCTGGATATGCAGGCGTGCTTGTTCCGCTTTTTTTATGTTCGGTGTGATGAGCCGACTGAAAGGCGTTTTCGAACGCTGTCCGCTCTCCTCATCTGCCCACGCAACCTCCTTCCGTCATAAAACAGCGGTCTTTCTTACTGAGTTATTCGGC